AGATGAATAAGAGAAAACAGCAAAGGAGAGATAGAGGGATAATGAGAGAGATGAAGGAGCAGATGAATTGTGAATCAATCACAGTTTAACTTTGTGTTACTGGCCTATTTAAACCCACCAGTGACAAAAATCAAGCAGTATCCGGTCATACAACAGACAGACACAGGCCGGCTTTGCCACCCAAGAGATAAATGAGGGACTGGAGACATCCAAGACGAGAAGCTTTTAAATTTGAATAGAACAAGAGTCTGTCAACTCTTTTCCAATCCTTTAAGTTCTTCCAGGGCTTCAACCCAAATTTAAAATCTCAAATGCACCCGCACACACAACTATCAGCCATATGCAGACCAATCCTTTTATCTGTCATGATGATTTATGAGTTTTGAGCAGCTTCATGTGTGGACCAGATACTCTAAGCTAAATGATTTACGCTAATGTATAGTCAGCATGGTATTACAACATGAACATCTTATCAAGTTCATACAAGTAGCTCAATGAAGTTGGGAATGTTCAAAAATAGTTGGCCATGTGTAGATGGTCAGTGAGGAGCTCATATATCTGGAGGCTGCCTGGAGTGGAGCTGCTGCTCGTTTGGATTAGAAAGTAGCCAGTTGAGGTGGTTCTGAATTTGATCAGGATGACCCCTGTATGGCTCCCTGTGGGGGTAAAAACGAGGTTCAGTGGCAAACCCAGAAGACGCTGGAGGCCTGGGAGCCCCTCAGGAGCCCCTCAGGAGCCTTCAGATAAAGCTGCAAAAATATGGATGGAGAGGACTTGCTGCAAACTGGAACTGGACAGGCATCAAAACCTGGATGGATGTAAAAAAAAATATAGGAAATATTGAATGTAATACTTTTATATTGTGACTATGAATTGATGATCTAAGTTTGAATGTGAGAGTGAATAGTTGTTTGTCTCTTCATGTCAGCCCTGCGACACGCTGGCGACCTGTCCAGGATGTACCCCGCCTCCCACCCAATGTCTGCTGGGATTGGCTCCAGTCCCCCCTTGGGACCTTTAAAGGAGGATTAGCAGTAGATAATGGATGGGTGGATAGAGGTTTTTATAAACTCAGCCTTTAAATAATGGGAAAAGGATAAATAAAATAAAAATATTTGTGTTGAGGTCCAACCACAGCAGCTTCACACTAAATCATTAAATTGAACAAAAAGTCTGTCAATGTTTCCCCTCTACATCTCACAGCTAGTTTAAGTCTTTAGTCTTTTCCAGTTCAACAGAGCAGTGAAAACATGGTGGCAGTGACATCATTCTTCTTTAGTGATTCTTAAAAATCCCAGTGCAGCATTTTTTTATCCTTTTACACTCAGTGCCCAAAGACAGTGATGAAGTATAAATATGTATGTGTGTGGACAATATGTATTAATGCTTCAGTGGAGAAAAACATGTACATTT